GTATAAGCGGTCAAACTTCTCGTTAGATGAACAGTATCACTTGCGACCATGCGCAAAAGTAAAATCCAGTGGGTCAGGTGTTCTATTTGTCTTGGTGGCTGCCGCTTACTAGCGAGTGTGCCTGCAAGAGAGTAAACGACCACTTGGGCAGCCTCTGAAAAGTTAATATACTAAATTGGAGAAGCGACAAGTACTAGCCAAAGGTGTTCATATCAAGACGAAAAAATTTATTTTACCGCGCCTGGTGTTTAAGAGTTTATCAGTAACATCTTCATTATAGACACATTGCATCGAGAGGCTTAAAAAGGCATTCTGAAGTATTTCGAGATTGTCTGCGGGCAAGACGCGTTACCTTTCACTCTTTACATCTTTGCTGCTGCAGTCCAAAGTAAGACGCTAAAGTGCAGCACACTGGCATCGTGGAATTGTCACACTGTTCTTCAAACATTTGCCTTAGAAAAAAAATTTTTGTTTGAGAGAGAATCTTTCTTCAAATTCCTTTGCGAACTCTTCTGCCAGTGGTATTCATTTTCGTACACTTTTTGCTCGTTTTCGAAAAATTTTGCTACTATAATTTTAAAGCGTTTTGTTCCGGGAGGAAGATCAATTTGAGAAAGATGTCCCGAAATTTTATATCGATTTAGCGCTCGGACTAGAATTTGAAAGGAATTTTTCTGGATCGGCTGGAATATTTTCTGAAAGGCAATATTTCGAATTTTGCAGAAATTGATTGGCTTGCTGACTGTGTAACACCGGTTGCTCGGGATACACGCGTACACGCATGCACTGAGAAGCCCAGTGGGAAGGAGGATTGCTTTTACGAGGATGGTCAGAGTGTAGTTATGAAGAAAGATGGCCGCCTCATCGAAAAGCTTCAGGTGACAAGCTTCAGATTTCTTCTTGGAGGATTTATTTGTCACCGAACGTAGTGTAATCTATAATACTTGGATATTTACAGATGTCGGCATGCTGGCTTTGTCGGCCTGATTGCAAAATTGTTCGTGTGATAAGACCCTCAACGATATGGTTTGCCAGCAGGAATGAAATAAAGTAGGCATCATAAAACGTTTTATACATGCATTAAATAAATAGAACTCCCGCTCCTGAGGCTTCTCCAATTTTCATTGAAAGCAAACTGTTATCAGTGTCCAGTTATACCTCAATACCAATTACCAATGAAACCAATAGGCTGTGTTTCGTTTCGACGTGAGATTGGTTATCTCACGGGTCACAGCTTGAATCCTCGATTTTTTTTAAAATCTTTATTTGTAATAGTTGCAGTTTTAAACTTTTCGTCTTCATTTTTCAGTGCCGTTGGTTATGAAAATGATCGGTTTTGTCGCTTGCTCTATTCAGGGCATGCGTCGCTTTCCGAAGTAGAAACTGCTTTCAGTTTGTTAAGGCCTGCTTTTGCATATCCGAACACTGCGAGTGAACTGAACAAGGATTTTGTTAAATATTTGTCATACTTCAGGTAATTCTCAAATTTACATGATTTTCTTAAATCCATTTTACGGTTTTTCGAAGTTGCAAATGGATGAAGTTGTCAGAAATTCGGCTGAGCAGACGCAAATTTTGTTCGGAAAGCAACAGATTGCTTTAAAATGTTAAACTGTTCTGAAACGCAAGTGATGTGTCAAGAAATGCATTGGCACGTACTTGAGAATTTTTATATTTTTAGCAAAAGATGCATAGAAGTAGCAAGAGATCACCATTCCGTGTTGAATGCTCGGATTGGGGGTACTTTTTTTGTTGCATATGCGGTATGCCACTTCAATATATTGTTTATAATTGGAAAACGCATAAAAGTGAACTCCATTTTCGCTTTTGTTTAGGCCGTACTGTTCTGGACACTCAAAGGCTTCCGTGAGTTCAACAGACGACAAATCCAATGTTATCGATATCATTACTTTATCCGACTCACTGCAAAAGTCACGGAAGCGAAAAGCTTCCTTTAGTGACGACGAAGATTGTCAAATAATAGGTTAGCAGTATCGAAGTTTTTTCCCTCCTCTCCGG